GCCCGGGACGGGACCTCTGCCGCGCGCCGCCAAGCCGGAGCCACGCGAACGCCAGCCCCTCCTCCCGCTGCTTCACGACAAGGTGCCGCAACAGCAGGTGTGTGTGTGTGGGAAAGAACATGAGTGTGTGTGGGAAAGAACATGAGTGTGTGTGGGAAAGAACATGAGTGTGTGCGGCAGGTGTGCGTGGGAAAGAACATGAGTGTGCGTGGGAAAGAACATGAGTGTGCGTGGGAAAGAACATGAGTGTGTGTGGGAAAGACCATGAGTGTGTGCGGCAGGTGTGTGTGGGAAAGAACATGAGTGTGTGCGGCAGGTGTGCGTGGGAAAGAACATGAGTGTGTGTGGCGGGTGTGCGTGGGAAAGAACATGAGTGTGCGGCAGGTGTGTGTAAATGATCAAATGGTGATTTATCACTGCCATTTGTATAGCGTTGGCTTCTGCTCTTTAGTAAGTGACTGTATGTTTGCAGCGTGTTGCTTTTTGTCCTGTCCTTAAACACAGAGAGCATCACATTTTTATCGTAACGGGTAGCACACAGGTTTCTTTGCTTTTGTGGCTTAAGTAAGATGCTGATGTACAGCCAGACTTTATCGGGAGCGATTGTGTTAGTTGTTTCCTGGATGTTGAAATGAGAGGTGCTCCTGAGGTCTGAGAGTTGTTATTGACTGTTGATGGGTGGCTGTTTGATGGCAGAGGCTGCCTGAAGCCACAGAGAAGGCCGTCCTCCCGGGTGTCCACACCAAGCCCAAGGCTGGCAGGCGGCGCTGGGCTCATGTCTCTGGGGTTCTGAAGAGCTCCGGCGACTGGGATGACTTTGAGGATGTAGAAGTCTCTTCACTGAGCAGAATGAAGGTCACCAATGACAAGAGGAGACACGGGGATGAAGCCTTGAGCAGGTGAAGTTCTCCTCTGCTTATTTCTGAGGTCTTTTGATTTTTGCGCTGATGCTGAACATAAGCTCCAAATATCTTTCAGATTTGGAAGCATGTTGAATTTGGATCCGGCAAACGGTAGAGCAATAGGCAATCCTCCCAGCGTGAATGGCTCCCTTTCCTGCCAAGATCCAGCCTTGTCCAGGATAACGTCAGCTAAGCAGCATTACTTGAAACAATCCAGGTATTTGCCAGGTGGGTATTCATTTTATTACTGTGCCACTGTCACTGGGATTCTGCTTTATATGCTTTCTGTGGTGAAAAGAAGCTGGGGAGGTCAGTTCCAGGAGTAAAGAGTTTTGCTGATGTGAACTAGTAGGGCACTTCTCCTTTTTCAGGAATAAATGAATCAGCAGTACAGTAATCCTCACTTTAATGGGTTAATAGGGAGGAAGGGGTTTCCATTATTGCAGAATTTCTGTTAAATCACAAATCATATTTTTCAGACCAAAAGCACTATTATATGAGAACCCTGCTATATCGAGGGTTTTCTGTACACATTTCTTTTTGAACATTTTCTTCCTCGCTTGTTCAGGTGTTCTGCTTTACGTCTTGTTTAGGGCTCAGTGCAAAGAAGAACGGGGCGATAAGTTTGAATCTAGACTGTCCAGCGAATGGCCAGTGGGGCAGTGCCAGCTTTCCTCTGGGCGTTGGAGGAACAGTGCCAGGGAGAAGAACAACCCAGGGTCAGAAAGCAGTGTTTGTCCTGTTTCTGTTCTCCAAAGTCTCGGGAGGCCACCTGTAGCATCTTGGTGTCTTCGTCACTGCCTAGAAAGCAATACAGTAGTTTGACCTTCCCGTTAAATGTACCTTCATAACTAGTGCTGTCTGAAATGAGTGTCTACTTATTATTAAATATTCTCATCTAAAGCCGATCAAATCAATGCACGTAAAAAACTGAAATAAAGTAGAAGATGATCTCTTTCTGTGTTACATCCAAATCTCTTAATACACAGTTGGTTGGTTTCGTGATCAGATAAGCTCTTTAGAAGGTGGAAGTGATTGTCCTCTGACACTATGTGTCTTTAGCTGGGTACCTCACAGAACATGTGCGAGAACGTAACGGGCGCAGCTCTCTTGGTAAGGCTTCTGACTTCTGTAAGGGGGTCATGCAGGTGTTTCATGAGGTGTACACCTGCCAGGCGTGGCCGTGCCACAGTGATGCTGTCGGGACATGGGAGCGCTAGTTTGAACTTGCACTGATTCCTTTTCTGTCTGTGTGTTCTTTGCAGGTCCCAGCACGCTGCCACGTGATTATGCTCCTTCTTTTTATAAGAAGGAAGTAGCTTCTGCTGGCCAGCGAGTACAGCTTGCACCCCTGGTGGATCCACCATCCTCTAGTAAGACTTCCTTGGGTGTTGTCCATTTCACGGAAGCTGACTAGACCTGTCCCATCTGTATCAGATTGGTCAGTCTCAACCTCCCGAGTGAGCAGTACTGCCTCCAGTCCAGACCTTTAGACTGTATATCTGTACCGTGCCAGAATTCTGATTTAAACGAGGAAGCTCTCGATGCTTACTGTATGTCTGAGGTGTCTGTGTAATGTACCCTAGAAAATACAGAGTAAATAAAAACTAACCAGCCGCTCTTGAAGGATCCGCTGACGAGCTTGATGTTTTTTAATTACAGACTATGCAACGTGGAAATCCGGCCGCAGTCAGCTTGCGCCTCCATCCTATACTTCGCCTTCAAAGAGCACCCCAGGGGTACTGCCTCACCCCCCTGCACAGCCTGTCCAGCCTGTACATGGGCGAATAGACTGGGCCGCCAAATATGGGCATCGATAGTGCCCCCTGCAGGACAGCGGGCTACCACCAGCCCCTGGATACTCAGGAGAGGGGGGAGAGGGGCACTCCGTCATGAACTGTGTAGATAACATGTAATATACAGCAATAATGTTCTTTTTGTATTTGTCTCTGTATATAATGTATTATATGTGTGCTTGGTTTTGATATGTTATCAATATACTCTACAGCAGCTTTTGTTACTCAAGCTGGTTTTGGTCTCCGCTCAGTTTTTTAAGAAAAACACAAGAGAAGCATTTGTTTTGAGTGCAGTACTGAAGCTTGTCTGTGCATTTCAGCAAGGTAGTGCACTTCTCTGTTCTGTCGTGCTACACTGTCCCGAACACCGCTGACAGTGAAACACTGTGATCTGAGGTGCGTGTCCATCACACTTCAGTCGCGGCTTAATCGCACCCTCAACCCATGTTTGTTTTGAAGCTGGGACTGTTCATTTAACTTATACCAAAGTCTTTGCTTCCTCAAATTGAAATGTTAAGCACATGGCTCAATAAGTGATCAAATTATGACGACCTTTTATGCTCTTTTTCTTCTATTGGATCAACATGGACCTCATACAGACTGTTTACTGTGCACTCTGCAGTGATGTCTTAAATTTCAATCAGAATTGTTATTCTCCACTGTAGCAACAGAGCTCATTGTGTATTATATGCCATTACATTCCTTCAAATCAATAAGAAACTAGACTTTCGAAAGGTGGAAAACTGATTTATTTGGCTTTTTGTTTCTTGTTTCCTGTGCTTTGGAAAACAAGATTAAAAGCAAGGATATTAAAGGTGTTTAGGGGCTTTACTGTATAGTTTCAATAACTGTCCTAACAGTTTCCTTTTTATTTCCATTTTATATGCTATAGTTCACATGAATCTGTCTAACGTGCCAGCGATAGTAATTTAATCACGTTTAGTTTTCATTTGATATTATTGTACCTTTCATGAGTTTTAATAGATGTGCTGTACATAGTCTTCTGTAGTTTATAATACTATCATTTATGGGAATTTCATGACCAGGAACCACTTTTTTTAAAGGGTTACTGTAATAATTATCAGCTGTTATTTATGTTAAACAAAGCCTGTAATTATATGCAATAAGTATTTTAATGCATTGATTACTGGCAGCTTCTGCATAGAAATATTTTTTTACTGCATTGTTTTAAAAACTTTACCTTCTTCATGAAAAACAAGTTGCTGTGCTTTTAAAAAAAAAAATGTAGATCCTTCTTCCCTTACCACAAATATTAAAATCTCAATATTAAATGTAGTCTAACTTGCAGAATGCAATGCTGTTTAAGTATTTTTATTTTATTTTGTTTTGGAAACCTCTCAAGGTAGATAACCTATTCATAACCCCCCAAAATGGAAATTGCTTTCTTATCTAAACACAAGAAGCTTTAATGTCACAAACAATGGAACAATGGAACAACTCTCATAAGAGAAGAAGCTGTGATTTTGTTTTACTATACAATGGAATAGCGCTAACACTTTGTAGACATTTTAATTTTTGAGCTTCTATACAGAAATAAATGTCCGGAGCTTGTTTGTTTTCAGGGGATATTCCAGAGCTCTGAGTACTGTAGCTTTTTTACAGGTGTGAATGGATAATGGAAAGTTTCTCTGTTATAAGCAATAAACTATTCTTTTCCACAGTGGAAGTGTGTTTGTTGCTCTGTATGCCTTCCATATTTTATTTTATCTGAATAACAGTCATCACCTGAACAAAGACTAATTTTCTTAGATTTAAAATAATGCTATATTTCAGATTGACTTGGATTTGTAAAAACATAATTTGAAATAATTTCCATGCAGTTTCATTAACTTTAATGAGATTTGTTAATATTCTGGTGTTCACTGTTTTTTTTTCATAGTTTGTTATAGTTTGTTTGCAGTGTTATATGGCACCAATCCATGAATTTTAGTTTCAGACACGTTACAGCAGCAGGTTAAGCTACAACTGCAGATGGAGGGGTGTGCTGTGCAGTGCATTACCTCTGTCTGATTTAAAAAAATTCATTCATTCTGTCACAATTGTGCAGGCCAGTATATACATTTAGTCTGTTTTTTTTATAAATTGCTATTAATGCCTTGTAAAGAACTGAACAGGTAGATTTGTCCTGATAATAAGCAAAGATGTTGAATGCATCATGGACCACATTTTCCAAAACACATGAATCTGTGTACAGTCCCCTGCTAGTTTAAGTGTATATAGAGTTCCAAACCAAAGATCTGGTTTAAGGGTCATATATGTATAATTGAAAG